GCCAGAAGAGACAAAGCAACGTTCACACGTTGGAAATAATGATCATCGGAGAGTTCGTGAGGCACCAAAACACCTTCTTTATGGAATATTCTCATATTCCTTAGATGTTTACATATTGTTTCATGAGAAAAATGCAATTTCAGGGCCATTTCACGAGTATGTTGTTGCCTTGGGTTAGACTCAACAGGCGTCTTCAGAGCATCAATATCAATTCCAACATGTTTGACCCTGCCATCACAGTTTTTAAGACTAAAGTCACATGAACGAAATTTGCTGAACCATCGTTGACACTTACGAACGTTCAAAACATTTCCATAAATTTCTTTGATATTATTTGTGGCTACAGAGGAGCTGTTTCCCTTCTTGTATTCAAACAGCATTACTTTCCAATTGGGTGTCTCGTCATGTGCCATCACTATAAGGGATTCGTTTAACTATTATTGGTGATGTACGTTTTTTTGGGGGTGGTTAGTGAAAGTGTTCCAAAATGTGACATTAATTTCTTGACAATCTAATATACAAGTTTTAAGTTCTTACTTTTATAAGGCAATATAAAAAAAATCTAGAATTTCCCCGTGTGTGAGAATTGTGACATTTTCTCTCTAGACATCCCCTCTTCTCTGATTTATTTTCCACCCCTCCAAGAAGTACAAAATTTTCAAATAAATTACTTATTATAATATTCGTCATCATTCAGATAAAGCACAATTTTCATAGCCTTCAATCTTATTTGGTAACATAGCCATGAAACAGACAACCAGATCCCTCTTACCATACCCATCTGTCACATCCTCTCTTTCAGAAATTGCCAATAGCTCTCTCTAACATTCAATACTATACTATTTATACCTAATAGAAAGCCAAAGCTTTCAGCTGTCAAATGATGTATTATATTATGTTGTTTTCTGTAAAGAAAATTGTCAATTTTGCTTTCAGTTCAAGCTTGATTCCCACGGCAAACACATCAATGAGCTTAGATGAAGTTGTAACAGCAACTGTCACATAGTTAGAAAGCTATAAAAACTGTGGTAGTTATGGGACATTGTCCATTTTTGGCACTTTATTGTTCTGTGTTCTTTGGTGCATTATTTAATTAAATAAAAAATTATTTAGTGCAGTACTACCATTAGTATAAAAAAGTAGGGTTAAATGTCATCAACAGTTGACAGCAAAAAAAAAAGAAGACCCAAGTAAGTACGTTTTTCTTGTTTTTCACGTGTAAGCTTTATTTATTATTATAAATTAAGTAAAATGTAAAAGTTGAAAACTTTCCATGTTAGTTAAAGTGAGATTATGTAAAATAAATAATAATAAAATAATTATAACATTTTTTTCATGAGGTA